CTTGGGTACTGTCTGCTGGAACCTTGGGTGCTGTCTGCTGGAACCTTGGGTGCTGTCTGCTGGAACCTTGGGTTCTGTGGGGGGTGAGCGTGGTGCGCAGTCTGGAACTTTGGGTGCTGTCTGCGGGAACCTGGGGGTGAGAGTGGTGCAGGGTGTGGACTTGCGTGCTGTCCGCTGGGTGAGAGTGGTGCACATTCTGGAACGTTGGGTGCTGTCCGCCGGAACTTGTCTGGGGTGAGAGGGTATATTTGTCCTTTGTTGGCATTCTTGAGATTCTTTCTCTACGGCCAAGAGCTTCAAGTGAACATTGCTGTCAAAATTTTGCTTGGCAAAAGAAATCAAGTGAGGACAGAAAGAAGTCACGGTCTCGCTCCAAGGGTCGGTGATGCGGCGATCAGCGTGAAAAAGGCTTCAGGTGTTCTCTTTGACAGCGGAATCCATGATACGACAAACATCAGAATTGCAGAAACAGAAACACAAAGTGGAGCCAAGTTGGGAACACAAAGTCCGAAGACAAAGGCAATTTCCTTTTGGATGTTAGTTCAACAGCTGGATGACAAAGCATGGACATCATGCGACAAGTACAAATGCGGCTTGAATTCCTTACCCCTGGCTGAGAAAGTCATGCGTGTCCTTTGGTTGCTGCACATCTACAATGGCATTTGCAGCGTGCTTCTCCAGTACGCACCTTTGCAACTCCGAAATATCAAGACTGAAGTGTGATGCAAGACAAGGTGTGTTTTTGGCCTGCAAAGAATAGGACCATCTATCATGTCGACTAGCACCTAGCACCTTCAGCTGCAAAGCTGACCGCATGCGTTCCACAAGCTTTGAACGTGTCTCCAGCAAAGTGGCAGCTGTGTTTATGATACTTATGTGCCTTACCGACGGATTGCTTGTTCAGAGCAAAGAAGGCAGACTTGAACATTCAATGGCGTTTACAATTCTTGACACATGTTTTGGCCGTTGCCTTAGACGCTTACACTTCATATAACACCCAACTTCTGTTATCAGAACCAATGATCTTCCAACGGGATTCAAACCTTCTTAAAGAAGCTTATTCTTTGGCGTGGCAGATGGAACCTACATGCCTGCATTAAAAATAACATCAATTCAATTCAAGGACATACAGGGAACCGGATACATCCCGGTACCAATTGGATCGAGCAGTGGCAGTTGGAGTGCCTATGAGTGCGAAAAGCGCTTTGTACTGCTCGCCATAGGTCTTGAAGAAGCAGAAGTAATGTCAGGAACCCATGTCATGACCCAAAGTGACTTATGTACTATAGCGCCCTTGTTACTAGTAGCTTCTTGCTCCTAGTAGTAAGGCCAGGAGCCCCTAGTAGCGTCCTTGCTCCCAGTAGCAATGCCAGGAGCCCCTAGTAGCTACTTGCTCCTAGTATTTGTTAATGTGTTTTCACTTGTGCCCTCTAGAACCTGCAGCACAACCACGAAGACAAACCCTCAACGGAGTGGGCAATTGTTTGTGCTGTTCTTTGCTCATGTTGGTTGTTGGTTGTTGTTGATTTCGGCAAACGCCAACAATGAACCTCACATCATGAGTCATGATACCCCTTGATATGCTTACAATAGTTGGCCAGAAACAAACAATCATGTTATATAGACGCCCATCATGTTGGTGAGACGATCAACCATTCGCCACGTTCTGAGCACGCTATGTTCGGGGTACGGCGCCGTGAAGAGAAAGCTCTGAAACTTGCTGGAGTTGCCAGCGCTGGTTGATGCAATTTGCATCATGCGGTGTACCTTGGAGTGCCTTGGCGGCTTTGCACGTTTGAACACAATGAAAGTATATAGCTGCAGGTGACCTTGGGTGGTTGTGACTTGAAGTGTTTATGTCCAGAAAAACACATGTACAAGGTCAGAATTGTCCTTGACTGTGCCCGCGCGATGTTTAAAGTACTTTTCGTAGACCGCATTCCATCATTTATCAATACCTTTTTGCCTCGCTGCCTTGCTCCTTTAGCTATAGTGTAACCTATTTACAGCACAAATATGACAATGTCTCTTCGCAGCTCTAGCATTGTTCTCGTGAACCTGTGTACTCCATACCAGGTGGGCACCCCTTCCCAGCCATTCACTCCCTGGAAACAGGCTCATCATCAATTCCCAAAATGGTGCATACCCGGTTGCCTGCTGTTCTGGTCCATATGCCCCAATCGAGGACCCTTGAGGAATTCCACTGGCACGCTAAAATGGGCTTTCATCCTCTCACGTTCACTTTGGATCCTCTTTGACTTCGAGCGCTTGGGGTTTAGGACTTGGTAGCGAAGCCGTCAAAGTACGGCTCCGAGCGGCCACGCGAGAGCCATCCCTAATGTAGGTCTTCGAAGTAACCGGACACTGACAAGTTCTTTGTCCTGTAGTGTGGCAAACAAGGGAGCGGCGGAAGAGAGCTCAGCAATTGTATGCTCACCGCCAAAAGCCACAAGTCGAGAGAAGGAGACAGCGTTGATATTCTTCCCAAAAGCATCTCCGATGCTTGGGTTCTCGTTTAGTCGCTAGTGCCGGGGGAGAGCGAGGAAAAGCTTACGTTGTCGGGGACGGAAGATGGAGGTGGAGGTGGACGGGGTTGGGAAGGGAAGAGGGAAAGGAAGGAAGAGGGAGGGGAAGGAAGGGAGGGGAGCGACGGGAGGCGCACGGGTGGGGACGGGGTTGGGGAGGGAACAGATGGAGGGGAGCGAGACGGGAGGGGCATGGGTGGGGACGAGAAGATGGAGGGGAGCGAGA